CTGATCCAGCACACCGGGATAGGATGTAAAAACATGTCATGTCCCCGATGTCACATGCAGTTTTGTTTTGACTGTCTGAAGAGCACTCTTGAGTGTATTACTGCACGAAACACAGTTTATGGAAAATGCTCTTGTGTTATTGCTCCAAGACAGACCTCCATACCCGTGTGGCAGGGGAAAACTTTAGTAGGATTATCTGGCTTGTAGTTTCCCTGGAACTAAAGTTGGAACACACATCCCTTTGTTAATAATGTTTGCATTGTATGATTCTAATTTGTGTTATTTACTACTTTTTTTTATGGAATTTATTTCATATCATCCAGAACTATTATGATTGTTTTAGCTCTTTATAATGTACCTTTATGTTAGCTTGATCTCATTTAATGTGATGAATGCAGAATAGCAATCAGCAATTTCTTATCAAATCAGAAGGGTGCTTTTTTCTTGTTGAATAAAGACTGAAACTTGAAACTTGGTGTTTTTTTCAATTTTTTAGTTAAAAAATAAATGTCAAGAAACATCAGGTGGCCCGACAGACAGAAATACAATATTAGAAATTGAAGCGTTTAATGTAAGTTTTATGGTAAAAAAAAAACAAAACAAAAAAAACTGTATTATTAAAAACAAGCATATGCTACCAGAAAATCAAATGTTTTGAGAGGACTGTGAAGCAAAGCCCATAGACTGTCAGAGCTCCTGTGTGTGAATGAGTATGAGTTATGCATCCCCACATAGAGGATCAATGTAAAAAACCTGGGTAGCCTACACAGGTGAAGATAATCTTTCTGATCAGAGTGCTGGGCTTAAAAGAGCAGCAGAGCCGTAACTTAGGGCTGGTTTCTTGTGTTGTTAATGTTGTTTCATTGTTTTCTAGTCTCTTGCTTCCTTCGAGTAGTTTTCCTGACGTTTATTCCTCTTTGTGTGGTTTTCAGTACTTTTGGATTTTGGATTTTTGCCTCAGTTCCCCTTGGACTTTCATTAAATCATCACAAACTCATCTGTGCCTACTCCTCTCTGCATCTGGGTCCTCCACACAACCTGACATAGACTTTCAGTGATATTTACAACTTGTGGACTGAAAATTTAATTGCTGATTTAAGAGCCATTGCACTACAGGGGGCAGGCACCTGTCTGTCATAAATACCCATCCCTGCTTTAATTACCATGGTTTCACAGTTCTGACCATAAAACTGCCCTGACCTATATCTGATAAAGAGTTTATGGCAGTTGAGTGGCAGTATCACCAGATAAAACAATTCAAAGTATCGAAATGCTGCTATCAAAGCAGTCTGTGCCTCCCGAGCCACGGGCTGAAAGCAAAGACATTCAAAAGCCTTTGCTTTTTCTTTTGACTAAGTTCGGAATGGCACCCAGGCTACACTCTTGCAGGAGTTTTTATTTTTTACTAAGTTACTGTCGTTAATTGTTTGTTTATAACTGCTTGCGCTACACAACAACCTATACCCAATGGGAACAATAAAGACTTGTTGAACTGAAACATGCACAAAGTTATGGCCCTAATGTTTTCAAAGTTTAGAAAAGGTTTCAGTTTCAGTAAACATAATATCACCTAAAACATCACTGTGTAAAATATTGGTATGTTTTTCTATATGTTGTACACCTTAAACAGTCTGGGATCATATTGACTCAGAAGAACAACAATCCCTTCCCACATGTGCACAGGATATTGAAAAGTATTTTCATGTGAATTTCATATTTACAGATATTTCGCCATTGAAGTAGGAAAAGTCCATAAATATGATGCCAAAAAAAGAAGATTGTTTCAGATGCAGTTAACCACTGAATGGGATCAAATTGCCCCCTTTGGATTAGGACAGTCAACTGTTGCTGCAGTTGCTGCTCTGCTTTAAGTTTCAACAAATAAGTCATCCAGATGTAATGTTTTGCTGAAATCTTTCTTAAGCTACCTGCCAAAAAGATAATCTAACCCACACAACTGCAGCTTCCTATTATTTTCATTTTCTGTCGCAAAGAAGAGGACAGTGTGCCAAAGCCTCCATCCTTTCTTAAAATCCTTGAAATCTTCTCTGTAGTTTATGTTTACACACCTTTGAGTTGCTTGTCCTAATAAATTCATCCATGGATTAGTCCTATTCTGATTTTCACTCTGGCTGTGTTACATTTTTTTTGTGTTTTTTGTGTGCTTATTTTGCACATTAAGGTATCATATCAAAAAGATTTGCACTTAACCAACCAGTCAGACAACACAAGCATTTTTTGTGGGTACTTTCCAGCTCCTTACTTAGTTTTTGTTTTATTTTGTTTGGTTAGGTGACTAATCTTTATCCTTTATTTATCATTTCCCTTAAGTTTAAAATTTCTTCCTGCAATGCAAATGCAAGTGAGAAAGATCAAACAACATATTTTCCAGGTTCATTCCAGGACTGACTACTTTGTTGTGTAGGTGGAGTTATTCAAATAAATACAGAAAGCAGGCCGTCTACTTCCTCCCTCTCTCAGCAGTCATAGGAGTGCCTTTTACTGTCTCTATATCAGCGATTGTTCAACA